ACAGGAAGAAATGTTCCAGATTCTTAACTACAGTTGTTGTTAGGTACCATTGAGTTGAGTACAAATCATAGCACCCATATGAACAACAGACCAGAACCCTGTCCTATCCTCTGCCATCAGCATCGTCTCTGATACACTTGAGCCTATTTCTGCAGTTAATCCATTTCATTAGAGCTCTTCCTTTCTTTAACTGACCCTCCATTTCTCCAAGCATGATACCCTTTCCAGGGAGTAGCCTCTCCGTGTGAGAGATGAAGCTGAACCATCCTTGCCTCCAAGGAACACTTTGGCTGTACTTTATTTAAAAAAAATCTATTTGTACTTTTGATAGTCCATGGGATGTTCAGCACTCTTCTCCAACATCACAACTCAAAGGCATCAATTCTTCTGTCATCCTTACTCATTTTTCAGCTCTCAGATACATAGCAAGTGACTGAAAAGACCCTGACGTGAATCAGGCACACCTTAGTCTTCAAACTGACATCACTGACCTTCAGTATTTTGGAGAGGTCCCTGACAGCAGATTTGCCCAAAGGAATTTGTCTCCTGATCTCCTCACTGCTGATACCAAGGGTGTTGATTATGGATTGAAATAATATTAAATCATGGACAGTTTCAAATTTTACTCCATATATCATGATCTTTCCTGTTGGTCCAGTGGTAAGAACATTCATTTACTTGATGTTAAGATGTAATTCATATTGAAGGCTGTAGTACTTGATCTTCTGCAACAAGCATTTCAAGACATCCAAATCAAAACTACATTGAAATGTCATCACACTTCAGCAACAGTAGCAAAAAAAGTGCTGATGAGAGTGTGGAGAAATTGAAACTCTTATACAGTGCTGTTGGAAGTGTAAAATGGTACAACTATAGAATGTAATTTGACACTTCCTTAGAAAGTTGGGAATACAAATAACATTTGATCCAGCAACCCTACTACTAACAATATTAAAAAAAAAAAAAAGAACTGTGACACAAACTAAGACACAATATTCACTGTAGCAGAATTTACAATAGCAGAGATGTGGTAACGACCCAAGTGTCCATCAATGTATGAGTGCCTAAAGAAACTGTTATCCGCAGTAAGAGTGGCAAAGTTTGACAGGGCAGCAAATAATAGATGTTGGAGAGGATGTGGTGAGAAAGAAACTCTTAACACATTGTTGGTGAGATTGTAAACTAGTACAACAATTCTGGAAGGCAGTTTGGCACCTCCTTAAAAAGCTGAATATGGAAATTCCACATGACCCAGTTATTCCACTATTTGGAATACACCCCAAGAATATGAGAACTCAGGCACAAACGGAGATTTGTATAGCAGCATTATTCACCATTGCAAAAACATAGACACAGCCCAAATGTCCAACCACAAATGAATGAATTGAGAAATTATGCTACATCCACACAATGGAATATTATGCAGCATGCAGGGGCAATAACTTTGTAAGTTATTACCTGACTTGGGAGGGACCGGAGAGCATTATGCTGAGTGAACTAACTCAGTTCCACAAGGATAAATAGTGTATAAGACTGTTATTGTAGAAGGAGTATAACGATCCGGAAGAGGTGGGAGAGACTGGAAGTAGAGGGATGTGGATTTTCAGAGGGAAGAGGAGATTAATCACTGGGTTGTACAATTTGATGGGTGGAGGGTGAGGGAAATTGAAAGAATTTGTCCTATTTTGTATTAGAATTTTGTAAATTAATGAAAAGGAAAAAAGTCAACTTGGGGAGGGGGAAGGAGGGAGTAAAATGTGCAATAATGAATGAATGAAAATCTAACTTTTCTGTAAACTTTTATTAAAATGACAATTAAAATAAAAAATTTTTATTTAAAAAAAAAGAAACTGTTAGCCACTGACACAATGGAATATTCTACTTCATTAAAACTATCAGGAATTCATTAACTATTGCACAACAAGGATAAATCTAGAGCAAATTATGCTGTATGGCATAAATCCAGCACAAAAGGCAATTATGGTTTTAGATCACCATTATAAAAAACTAAAAAAATATTTACACACAGATAGATTCAATCTTGGAAAGATAACAGGGATAGGAGGGAAGGGAATAAGAAGTAACAATAAGTAGTAAAAAGATAAAGTATGTAAAGGGAATGGCAATACATAATAAGGGGTTGACTAGACATTGTAATTAATCAATGATATTTTATAAAATAAAATATCAATGAAGGATTGAAAAAATCAATGACTTGTAAACTGTAACTCAAAAACTAAAAATACAGCAAAACCACTTAAGTCAGATGTGCAAAAATGTATAATGTTCTGTACTTTCTCTGACTTGAACTTAAGATTTTTTATGATTCCTATTCCACAAATTGGTGGGGGAATGGGGTAGGAATGGGCATGAAGAAATTGTTGCAAGCTTATCTCAGTCTCTTCTAATCAAAAACGGTCTTTTTAGGTTGTCTCGGATTTTGGAAGCTATTTTTCGTCGTCGTGGTTTTTTTTTTATCTACCCCCATCTTTTAGTGAAGGCAGCATCTGGGAATAAGGGAGAGCACATATATCCTTTCAGTGGTGGGATACAGTGGTCTCTTGATCTCTCTAGGTATTGTTCTCCTAAGAAGTCTTAACTAGTTTCCAGAAATCTATTTAGTGTTTACTGAATGCAGTTGGTGAAGCTCTTCTCATCAATGCTCCCTTCTCAGAAGGTCAAATCTTGGTGGTCCCACCTTGATGATTGTTGATGTACATGCTCTGAGATCTTAGTTACACGCTCCATGTGAACCCTAGGTGGACTGTCTTTCAATGCCTAGTTACATGCTCCATGTGAACCCTAGGTGGATTGTCTTTCAATGCCTAGTTACATGCTCCATGTGAATCCTAGGTGGATTGTCTTTCAATGACTCTGCTCCCATAACACCTGGATCCATCAGCTTCAGGACTCCAGAGCAGGTTCCATTCGGTTCCCTTCAGATCACTCCCTCATTAAAAGAGTGAGGAAAACATGGTCTTTGACTCTTTGCCTAGACATTTCATTCACTTCTAATATACAACTTGGTGATGCCATGTTGCTCTAACTCCATGCTTTGTAAAGGGACTTGCTGAGAAGGCACAGGGAAACTAGAGCACCATTTTCTTCTCTTTCTCAGCTCTCATATCCCTGAGCTTTCTTCTCTGATCATGATAGAAGACTATATATGCTCCACCTCTCTTGAACACAATTTTTACTACATGCAGTGATCTTGAGTACATCAGATTTGCTTCTAGATCTACATGAAGGAAAGCTCATTTGGAAGTTAAGAAAACTTTTGTTTTTTTCTCAGCAAGTCTAGATTTTAAAAACTCTTGTCTTACCAACACTAATATTTAAAGCCGAACACTGGGCTTACTTTTTCTAGTCTTTCTCTACCCTGTACTCATTACCAAGTTGGAGCCTTATCTAACAGAAATTTTTGAAGACGGAAATGTTCTACCTGTGCTGTGTAATACTATGGCAACAAATCACATTTTGCTGTTGGACACTCAAAATATGTCACTACAGCTTTCACTTGAAATGTTGGATCTTGATGTAAAATTTTCTCTAAATGTCACTAGACTGATTTTTAAATGTGGATTTTATTTTCATATCCTTTTAGATATATGTCTTATAACAGTAAGCTCTAAATATATGAATATTTTTCTCTAATATGCTGGGGTTTTGTTACTGCTATTTTTAGTTGCTGGAAGCTTAGAATATTTATTCATAAAGCTTTTATTTTGTCATTGCTACATAGTTCCAAAATGGAGAAATTTCATTGTCCACAGATGTGATCAACTAATTTTTTTCTGTTTAATTTGGCAGAATATTTACATACAGTTTATTATAATACTTTAATTGTTTTACAAGTGACTATTTTAACACTATCAATTCTGTTTTTTTAAAAAATGTATGTGTAACCCTTACGGCATTTGACACTCCAGTGGCACAGCTCTCAGTAATTTTATGACTTTAGATTTTTTATGAGCTTATGGAATTTGAGAACAAACTGTCTTAGGGAATTTATTTCTGAGTTTTGATAATAGTTTTGAATCCTTCAACTAGATAGGCATGCCACCAGGACATAGTGAATTTGTATTGCTTTCTAATACTTTGTTAATATTTTTTGAAAGTTAAATGATGGCAATACTCTCTGTGTGTTTAGCTGTGGTAATATTAGCTGCTATTAATAAGGAACTTTTAAAAATAAAATAAAAATATCAGCAGTAACTGTGGACTAAGATTTTACTATATTCAACTTTAATTTAAGTACCCATATGTAGCTGTTGGCTACCATATTAGATATGCTGAGGAACAATCATAATCCTCGTAGCATAGACCTCAGGGAAAAAATTATACATACAGTGGAAGAAGCTGGCATGCAAGGCTTTTTAAAAATATGGACCCCATTATAATAGTTTGTCCTTTGTTAAAAAGTACACTGTGATATACAAAATGATATACAGTTTACAAACAAGATCCAATCTTATGCATATCTTTAAGTCAAATTTCTGCATAAACTGGAACAGGAAACATTCATTATGCTGAAGAGAGGAAGCCAAACACAAAGAGTGCATATTCTGTGACTCTGCTTACATAAAATCCTATTCCATAAATAGAAAGAGCCATTTAGCTTTACTTTAATGCAAAAAAAAAAGGGAAAAAAAAAGACCTTTTCAATTGTTTAAAAGCTGCACATACAAGTAAAGTCGGTGTGATGAATTCATTTAAGACAGTAAGGGATTTCTTTCAGTTATTTCAGAGTAAGGGCAAATTTACTTAACAGTAAAGGGCTAGTATGTCCTATTGAGTTGTCATAAATTGGCATTTTTAAATAGACAATTTTAATATAGGAGACTGCATATATAATGACCTGACCTATTACTGTTTCTTCTAGAGTCCATCAGTTTTATTCAAAGAATACTGACCTTACTTAATTGTAATTGTATGCTTAAAGAAAACAAAATGGGTAAAAGGAGATATTTACAGAAAATTTGTTATGTGGTTCTTTTTAGGAAAAAGAGCGAGAGCTTGAAATTAAAAACATCTATACCAATCGAATACTTAAAAATTTACATGAAATAGATGAGTATCCAAAAGGTATGTTTAATTACTTTTCTACAAAATTTGTTTTTACATATTTAGCCACATTTTCCTAATTTATATAGTCAAAATAATGGCTAGTTAAAAAATCATTTTAGTGGTAATTTTTGTGCTTCTAAAACTCATAATTGTGGTATGGTTGAAATAATTAGAAAAGAACAAAAACATCTTCCCGTTTTGCTAAGCCACATATGTCCTTCTTCTAGGTAAAATAAGACGATAAATTTTCAGCCTGAAGCAAAATATCTAACAAAAGTTAAATGTTCCAAGTATATTTGTTTATCTGATGTGATGTGTGGAATTTTTTAAAATAAACTTTATGAAGAAAGATTTACCTAGATAAAATGATCCACCTAACGTGTTGACTTCTTTGCACTTATAAAATGCCCATATATGCCTATATAACTACAACTCAGTTGAAACATAGAACATTTTCATCTTCCGGAAAGTTTCTTCCTATCCCTTTGATTCGTTAGCTCTCCATTCTGAGCCTAAGACAAATGCTGTTTTCCCTTCTGTCACAGAAGCATATGTGTACTTGTCCTAGAATTTTATATAAATGCAATCATAGACTATGCAGTCTTTGTATCTGACTTCTATTTCTGCATGTTTGTGTAATCCACAAATGTTGTCAATTCTATCATTTTTTACACATTTTTATTCCTGAGTGTAGTATATTTTTCTTTCAAAGCAGGACATACTCTATTTATCCTCCTAAAGTCTCCCAGCATAAGATTTTGCACAATAAAAATACATGATGGTCAGGCATCACTTAATATTGATGATATGTTCTGTGTCACAGGACCTTTTGTGAACACCACATTATATGCAGATAGTCCCTGGATTATTAAAAAGTTTCTAAATCTATCTTTAAGAAGTCTTTAAAGTTGAGTTGGAAATTGGGAGTTAGGTATAGTTGATATCTAATGTCAGTCCAAAAGTTTGCTTAGTATGTTGTTGTTGTTGTTGACTGCCCGTCAAGCACAACTCATAGTGACTCTGTGAATAAAAGGCCTGAAGCCTTTCTATAACTATTGTCATTTATTTAAAGTCATAGAGTTTACAGAGGCACGTTGTTTAGGAAGTTGATACCACTCCTGCTTATTATATGGTGTACTTTTCCTATGCATGGGGAAAAAAAACACGTTAAAAAAACCCTTCAGATACGCTAAACATATTTAAAATCATAAATAGCATTGTGTTGATGAGCTAACAAGATAGCTCCTGCTTATTGTGATAAACTATTACATATGTACCTCAAATGTTTAATATAAAAATTTTATATAAAAAAAGTTTTATAGAGGTTGGGAGCATAGAGTGCAGGGGAACTTTGCCTTAACAAACATGCCTGTACTTAGTTCTTTATTTGTAGCAGCAACTACATGTTTAACTTTTTTTTTAATAAAATTTTTTATTTTAATTGTGATTTTAATGCAAGTTTACAGAAAAGTCAGATTTTCATTCATTCATTGTTGCACATTTTACCCCCCTCCCTCCCTTCCCTGGCCTTCATTTCACTTTTATATATTGTTGTTGTTGTTGTTATGTGCCGTCGAGGCGTTTGCGACTCATAACGACCCTATGTACAACAGCCCTAAACTGTGCTCTATCCTGTGCCAGTCTCATTGCCTCTGACACACCCATCCCAATTACCCCAGTCACTGAATCAATCCACCTCATAGAGGGTCTTCCCCTCCTGCGCTGTCCCTCTACTCTACCCAGCATGATGTCCCTCTCTAAAGACCTGTCTCTCCTTACAACATGTCCAAAGTATGTCAGGCAAAGCCCCAGAATCCTTGCCTCCAAGAAGTAGCCTGGTTTAAACCCTCTCTAGGATGAATCTGTTTGTTTTCTTGGCAGTCCATGGTACATTCAATACTCTTCTCCAGCACCACAGCTCAAAGGCATCATTTCTCCTTCTATCCTCCCTAGTCATTTATATATATACCTAAAAAAATTTATATATATATTCTTTCATTGTTGCACAATTACCTCCCTCCTCTCTCCTCCCCCCAGGCCTCTTTGCAATGTACCTCTTATTCTGGGCTACTGTTGTACATATAATGCCTAATCATTATTCCTTTTAAATAGTTCTTTCCTTCATCTGTTCCAATGCAGTGTTTACTATTTATCCCCTCTTTTCTTAGTTTCCCCTCAAACCCCATGTCAATCCTGTTTTATAACAGTGGCCCTATGCAATATTTGTCCTGTTGTTACTGAGATATTTCATTCAGCATAACGTCCTCCAGGGTAACCCATGTTGTGTAATATTTTGTAAGTTCCTTGTTTTTCATTGTTGTGTAATATATTCCATTGTGTGAATATACCATGGTTTTTCTATCCACTCATTTGTTGATGGGCATTTGGACTGTTTCCATCTTTTTGCTATTGTGAATAATGCAGCAATAAACATGGGTGTGGATATACCTGTTTGGCTGGCAGTTCTGGTTTTCTTTAGTGTATATTCGTAGTCATAGAATTTCTGGGTCAAATGGTATTTCTATTTCTAACTTTTTGAGAAAGCACCATACTGCCTTCCATAGTGGTGGCATATACATGTTTATTTTCAAAGGCAGCAACTTCACATTTCTTTGACTTCCTTACCTCTGGTTTATAATACAGAATAACAATCAACCACAAGACCAGAGATCATAAAACCAACCATGAGTGGTTTGGATTTGACAATTTATCAAGGGAAATGAAGTCTAGATTAGTGATCACATATTTTAGCATAGACAGATGGTCCAGCTACTGATAGTCAAGAAATCCGACAGAAAACATCACTGTGAGCTGGCCTTTCACAATTGCATGTCTACAATGTCTAATGCCTTCTGCAAGCAGGGTGGCCTGAGTACCTTCAGCAGCAATTTTCTTAACACCTTTTGTACTATTTTACTATGCTAGTTATAAACTTTATGACTCAAAAGAACAGAGCAAGGTAGGTGGCAGGGGGAAAAGGAAACTAGCTAATGTTACACATATACAGAAAATTTTTAGGCAATGTCTGCTGTATTTTATTTTACTATTAATTTGTATAACTCAGTGTTATTTTATATCTGAGTGTTGATGCCAAATATAATGTCTCTTACATATAATCTACATGTTCTATAGTTTCTTCAACAAAATCGGTACAAGCAGACAGGAAAAACTTTCCATTTACAAGTATGAGACACCAGGAAACACAAAAATCAGATGTTCCACCTTTGGCAACTAAGGTATTATAAATTTGAAATCTTGTCATATTTACATAAATAAAATAAACTATAAATTGTTACTACTGTGCAACAATATTTTCATTTACAAGAATAAAACACTTCTATTTACTAAAATAAATCTGAATATTTCAGATTATTTGAGCTCAAGAAATACATTTTTCCTGCTTTTCTAATAGAGTAAAAAGACAACCGGAAGCACTGTTCCTAAAGAAAAATCAACAGAAATAATAAACCGTGAAATTCCTCACTATGTTAGCATACCAAAGCAAGTTCCTAACAGAAAGTTTGAAGGTAATTTTAACAATTTCTAACTCTTTCATTCTTTTTTTTTTGTTTTTAGGTGTGAATTGCTAAGGCACATCTCTTTCATTTCTGCCTAGTCAGTTCCGAGTCATAGAGGACCTCCCCTAGCTTTACATTACCTGGAAGGAGATTGACCATTTTCTCCAACAGAGCCGCTGGTGGATTTGAACCACCAGGGAGGCACAGCCTTTGGGTTAGCAATGCAACTCCCTGCAGACTATGCCATCAGAATTCTTAAAATAAAATGAACACATTATTGCTCTCCAGACATCTGGGGAGTCTTTGTCCTTTCTACACACGCACTGAAAAGAGTCATACTCCTGAACTACATGCTAGTCATTCTCTTGCATTTCCTCACAGCTCCCTATTTTTAGATGTCTCCTTAAATATATTGATTTTGGGGAAACTCATTTGTTGTTGTTGTTGTTGTTGTTACATACCATCAAATCAGAGCTGACTCCTAGCTGACCCTCCAGCAGCTTTTCAGAGGCAGTAAATCACGTGGGAGGAGACTGCCCGTCTTTCTCCTGTGGAGCAGCTGATGGATACTGCAAGCCATTGGGTGCAGCACAGCTCCTTACCACTAAGTAATCAGAGCTCCCTTGGGTAGCAAATACAAATCTAGCTTTTTAAAGGACAATATTATCACAATTAGACAAAGACTTCCAAGAAATTAGAAACTGTTAAACAGCCTCTGACCTTAACTTCCCATCAGCAGTGAGGTGGTAACTGGTTCTGAGAGAGCAAGTAACTCAGTCACAGCATCTAGCTGAGCTGCTCAGTGAAGTCCCAGAGCGAGAGAGAGGGCCAAGGGGAATGGGCTGCCAGAACTTTTTGCTTTTAAGGTTACTACAACAGCAGCAACAGATATGCAGTGGAGCTAAATTCATCCATTCCAAAGGCCTCCCTAAAGGTACTCTGTCTGAGTAGCACCAAAAACCTTTAGTGACTTTTGCTGAAAACTCTGCTGCTCAGATGGCCCTTGACACAATGAGATAGTAGTTAACATGGAAATGAAATGCTGGGTTAAGAAAAACAGCATGTCTTTGTGAGGGAAGCAGCAGATTTTTGGTATTTAGAAGTCATCAAGCTCCATACATAAATGATATTAAGCTTCACTACAAACATATACTTGTAGTATAAAGACTACAAATTTAAACTTATGAGCAGCCTCCTTGTCTATAGTCAAGTTTTTTATACACTTACATTCTTACTTTTTCTATCTCCAGTGTGCTTGTCAGAAAGGTATAAATAAGTATGCTAAAAATGACATCTCAAAATAGAAATCCACTAGTTTTAAAAACCACTAAATTATCTCTTTTTCTAATATAGATCTATCAAAGGAGGAGGTATATATAGAAGTGCAAGCACCTGTGGAGATTATTGACAAAATACAAAGAGAGAAAAAGGATTATCAAGAAAAGAAACTTACTTTAAGTGTACAAGAAAAAGAGCTGCCATCCACAGGAATTCCAGTCATTCATCCTGAAGTGGAACAAGACGAGGAAGAGGATTTAACAAAAGCAAAATCTAAAAGAGATACACAGATAAATGACAAGGATAAAATACTCAATAAGTATGCTATACCAAATACCAAAGTACATTTTCGACAAAGAAAGCATTATTCATTCACAGAAACTGTTGAAAATTTACATCAAGGACTTCCCACTTCAGGTGGACCAGCCAATTCAAGCATCACAAGAGGCAATCATAACATATCCAGACAGCACAACAATACAGAACTGAAACTAGAACAGTCAGCTAGCGGTTATGTGCCGTCCTTTGGTAAGTCTTCTAAAACAAAAGTAAAAAATACAACTTTCCAAGATAAGAAAAACAATCTAATGGAAGAACTCTTTGGATCAGGCTATGCCTTAAAAGATGACCAAACAAGTTCTGTTGTTACTGAAGGGTCTGACGAGACTTTAAAAAATGAAAAGATAAGCCATCTACCTCCTAATCAGACCTCTGCCGGCAATGCTTTTGGAGATTCTAACATAACTGTGATAAATTCTATTAAGTCATCCTCACCTACAGAGGGAAAAAGAAAAATAATTATTTAAATATAATCATTATCTTAATACATTCTGGTTTGATATACTCGTTTTTTGAGTGTTCAGTTATTAACCTAAACTATATCTGAATATCTCTATGGGTAACACTTTCCTCAGATATAATTAAAATAAGTATTTTTTTTATATTATCTTACTTTTTAAAGGGAGGTCTGATGTTGCACTTTAAAGAGAGGTTAGGAGTTGCACTGGCAGCCCAAAGTATATGATTCAAATCCACCACCAGCTCATGAGAAGAAAGGTGGGTGGTCTCCTCCCATTTTATTAATTGCCTCTATAAACTCACTAGAGAGTCAGCTATGGGTCAGTTCCAACTAACAACACTTTTTTTTTTTTTCAAGGAAACCAGTATTATTCACTCAAGCTGATTGAATCAGCTTTCATAGTTTATTACATACTGTCAAGTCACTTGAGCCCCATAGAAACCCTGTGAACAGCAGCTCTGAACCCTGCCCTGTCCTGAGCCAGTCTTACTAATTCCGACACACCAAACCCCATCGCCCCCATCACTATATCAATCCATCTAATCTGGAATCTTCCTCTCCTGCACTGTCCCTCAACCCTTTCAAGCATGATGTCCTTCTCCAAGAACCAGTCTCTCCTGGCCACATGTCCAAAATATGTGAGACAGAGAGTCAAAATCCTAGCCTCCAAAGAGAAACTTGTTTTTTCGCTCTTCAAGATAGACCTATTTGTTTTCTTGGCAGTCCATGATATGTTCAAGACTCTTCTCTAGCACCACAACTCAAAGGCATCGATTCTTCTTCTGTCATCCTTAGACATTGTCCAGCTCTCTGAAGCATAACAAGTAATTGTGCATACCATGGCCTGGATTAGGCACACCTTAGTCTCTAGACTGACATGATTGGTTTTCAGTATTCTGGAGAGGTCCATGACAGCAGATTTTCCTAATGCAATTCATTTTTTATTTCCTGACTGCTGGTGCCAAGAGTGATGATTGTGGAGCCAAGCAAGCTGTTAACTGTTAACAACCTCAATCTCTTCTCCATCTATCATGGTACTGTCAATTATTACATTTAGACTATTTAATATTATGGCTATATAATGTTAATCATTTAACTCACTACTTAATTATATAAGTGAAATTTCTCTATCATCAAAGCTGTAACTATTTCCAAAGGTATTTATGGGTTGGTAAATAATAATAATTTCTCTCTCATTACTGTCAACTCATAGCTCACCCTCCTATGGGTTTTTCAGAGACTGTAAATCGCAAATTTTTCTCCCATAGAGCTTCTTCTGGATTTGATCCACCAGAAAGGTGGCTTTGGTTTAGCAGGGCAACTTCCTATGGACATCTCAACAGAGCTCAAAATAATGCTATACTTTTTTTATTATTATTAAATTTTATTAGTTTTAATGAACATTTACAGGGATTTGGGGTTTTCATTCCTTCATTGTTACACTGTTTTCTCTTTTAAAAATTTAAATTAGTAAAACAAATTCCAAAGAAAGGTGACCCAAGAGAGTGTGGAAATTATCAAACAATATCATTAATATCACATGCAAGCAAGAGTCTGCTGAAAATTATCAAAAAAAGACTGGAGCAGCACGTCAACAGAGCTGCTAGATGTGCAAGGTGGGTTTAGAAGAGGTCGTGATATTGAGAATATTATAGCTAATGTTAGATGGATCTTGGCAGAAAGCAGAGAGTACCAGAGGAATGTCTTATCTGTGTTTCATTGACTATACAAAGACTTTTGACTGTGTGGATCACAACAAGCTATGGCTGACTCTGAGAAGAATGGGAATCCCAGAACATTTGATTGTGCTTATGCGAAACCTGTACTTGGACCAAGAGGCAGTTGCTGAAACAGAGTAAGGAGACACTGCATGGTTCAAAATTGGGAAGGAGGTCCGCCAGGGACATATACTGTCCCCATACATTTTAATCTGTATGCCGAACAGATAAGCCAGGATGCTGTGCTGTACAAGGAGAAATGTGGCGTCAGGATTGGTGGAAAATTCATCAACAACCTGCGTTATGCAGATGACAC